CCTGAGGGCTTTGCTCATGTACAGGCCATTCATTGTGAGTTTTTATTAAGCTGCTCTATTTGTCCAGTTTGGAAACAGCAAATTCCTTTTGAAATGAAAACAACTCCTTTGTTTTTGGGTCGCCTGAGCCAAGGATTTGTAGGGGCTGGCCATAGGAGGAGGAACAGTGGGAGTTGGGGACAGGGGGAGGCAAGGCATGGAGAGTGCTGGAATGCGCCTCCACGCCTCTCTGATTTCTCCAGCTCACATTTACCTTTTCCTTGGCCAGGGCTATATATAAATATTTATGTATATATATTCATACATACGTGTATATATATATATATGTTTAAGCAAAGGCATATCCCAAGCAAACTCAGAAGCTCAGGCTGGATGAAATGGCTTGGAGCGGAGCCTTTTGGTGTGGCTGAGCGTGTACTGTGTGCATGCTTCTCCTGTCCTGTGCTGCCATGGGGGTGAAAGGATGCTCATGTGTCAAAGGAAACGCTGCTTTCCTTTGACTCTGGTTTGCAGCATCCACTGTCTTTAGCAGAAGAGCTGTTGTCTAGCACGTAAAGCAGCAGGAAGCCGTTCATGAGAATGGCTGAGCTCTGTTCCTGTCTCTGCTCCTGCCCTCTTGTGTGACCTTGGGGGAGAAGCCAGAGCACCAGCCCCGGAGGTGCCCGGCGGTCCTGGTGAGCACCGGGCATCCCAAGCATCCACTGCGAGTCAGCACCTCACTGGCTGGAGCTAAGTCTCCGTTCGTCCGCTGGCCGGCCGGGTCCTGTAGGATGTACCTCTACCCAGGGGAGGGTGGGAGGCATCATGGCCTGGTGGGACAGCACCATGAGATCTTCTGTCCAAGGGTGATCTTCAGTGCTAATCCTCTCTTTACCAACAGCCATGTCAGAGCTCCATGCAGCTGGGGTGGGCAAATGGGTGAGAACAGTAGCCAAAAGAAACAAATTTGTGTGGTAGCTGGCTAAGAAGGGAATTTAAACAAATAATCAGATGGTAGCAGGCAAGTGATTTGTTTGTGTTTCTTCTTGTTTTGTTTTTCCTTTTGAACTCTGGCGATTGTAAGAAGCTTTAGAAAAAAATAGAATTCAGTAATTAGGAACAATTTTATAATGGATGTTGCATTTCCTTTCCATTTGTAGATGGCATCTGTTTGTCTTTTTGTTGGCAAAATGGAAATAGGAAACTGCAATTCTAGTGCTAGGCAGAGCAGGAGCCTGCGCTGTGCAAGAACAGCAGGTCTAGCTAAAGCAAATGCATTCCTTTTGTCCTGTAGAAATTAATATAAATGAACTATCACCTATTGACTGGTTTATATCACATCCTATGAATGTATGTAAATAAAACTGTACATAAATGCATATCTATATAAAATATCTTTTAATAACGTATCAAAATTTGTGTAAATTGGAAACAAAAATACCTATAAAGCCAGTGTACATAAGTTACAATTCTGTATATTTTCTTTTGTTCTTCATAAAAATATATTTACTTTGACAATAAAATGAAAATGGAAATTTTAAATCCCTTCTTGAAATTATTATTCATTAATTTCCTTTGTAGCCAGCTCTGTAATCAGGACAGTAGCGCTTGAAATTTTGATTCACCTGGATGTAACTTTTCAGGTGCTGGGTAACAGGGAGGTGATGGAACAGATCTGAAGTTGTCTTCAGAAGTTCTTCCTCATCTCAGAAAGTTCTTGGGAGGCACGAGAAGTTTCGGCTCTCCCTTCGCTGGAGCCCTCATGCCTCGCCTGGCAGCTGCGCTGGGACCCGAATGCCTTCTGTGGTTTCCGACCGCTGTGGAACAGGTCTGCAGCTGCAGTTAAACTGTGGTTAATAAATTAGAGCAAGCAGGTTTTGAGGAAATTCAAGCTGTAGTGGTTAGTGTGAAGGAAGAAGGGCTTCAGAGTCTCCTTGAGACTGTGACGGTGACTCACTGTGTGACCCAGGACAAAGGACTTAATTGCCATGTGCCGCAGTTCCCTTTCTTGTAAAATGGGGATAATAATGCATCATAGTGATACTGTGGGACTTAATTTACGTTTGTGTGATCCTTGGATGGAAGGAACAAGCAATAAGACTGGTAGTCACAGGATTAGATTGTGAAAGAAAGGCTCGGCACGGCGGAGGTCTTGGTGCCAAGGCACTTCAGTTGGCTCTTCTGTAAATCCCACGCCTGAAAGAGTGATGTGGAGGATCTGTGGTATGAAGCATGCCTCAGGCCTGAGGAGAAGACGCCCTGTTCTGCAACAACCATTGTTTCCCATTTGAAACAACAGGGGCATGAACATGATGCTCTTGTGGTCTGCAAGCCAGGACATCTCTTGCACTGTGCTTTTTGTTGCTTGGCCTCCACTGGAAGAAGAAACCAGCAATGTTACTGGTGTTAAAATCACATCTGAGTCTCCATGGGAGCAATGGTGTGGTGGGTCCAGATCTTCTCCCAGCAAGAATCACTCTGACACTAATGGGCACTTAGGGATGAAAGTCTCTCCCTGAAGAACAGCCACCAAAATACGCCAGCTGATGAGCCAGGGCTCTCCAGACCCCTGATTATTTTCCCCAGAGAACCCCTATGAGTCTGGCAAGAGGAACCAAGGGATGAGGTAGACTAAGTTCTGTTCACTCCAGGTTGTTGTTACCTCCTGAGATGTAGCCTGAAGACCAGAGTCCTAAGGACAGCTGTTTTAAGAATGCTAGTCGCGTACGCACTTTAATTAGCAAGCCTGCACCAAGACGATCTCCGATTCCCTTCTGTTCTCACCCTATCGACATCATGCATTAAACCAGCTGCTTTATTTTAACCAGCATCTCAGTCTCCTCCCCATCTCATCTGGAGTTCTGATATTGCTGTAACATTGGGCAATTCACCCTGCAAGACACTCGGGGCAGAAGTTGTTATTTTTCTGCAAGAGGCAATACTTAAAGCTGAAGTGGAGTAATGCAAAACACCTGCTCTTGGAGCACAGCAGCACAGAGATCTAAGATCTAAGCTATGTTTTAGCCTGGAGTATTTTCCGTGAGACACTTATTCCCTCTTTCTTTTTTTTTTTTTTTTTTCTTTTTTCTGTTTTAGGTAGGGTTTCTGAGTGTGGATTGTGTGGGTTTTTCTGGCTAATACCTGTAAGGAAATTTAAGTTTATGTAAAAATTGCAACATTTTGCTCAAAAGAGTAGGGCCATGTTTGCTGTGAAAGGAGAGTTAGTTCCGCATGAAAATTAATGATGTTTTCAGAGGTTTGTCACAAAAAAGTAGAAATTTCCAGAAGAGATTCTGATGTTTGTTTTATGTGGAATTACTGGCTTGCCTGGGCCTTGCTGATTCATGAGAAAAATGTGGCCTTGCCTTAAGCCTCATTACTCTTTACCCACCTGAAGATAAATATTTAAGTGCTTTGATGCCACAACTGTAGATAAGTTTATTATGTCCCTGCTTCAGCAATTCTGCACAGCAAAGCACAGCATGGCATCGTTACACATATGCCTAAGTCTCATTGACTTAAAACATCTATAATTGGGTTTCTGAGGTGTGAATGGACATGTTTGTAGTGTTAGAGCCTTCACATAATGATCACGATCTAGTTCCTAACACTTGCGAGATCTCTGCATGTTTTTAAAAGGTTTTACTGACAGTTTCTGGCTGTTTATAGTCTCTTCATTAGAGCTAGTGGTGAAGGAATAGTGTTATGAGAGGTGAGGAGCCATCAACTGGGAAGGTTGTACTCGAGGTAAGGACTAAGCATGAGGAATAAGAGTAAAGTGATATTTCTGTAAGGTGACCTGACTTCTGTGACCCATGGCTAAACACAGAACAGTGGAGTGATGTGTCCAAGACCACAGAGCAACGCAGAGGGGAAATGGGAACAGAATCAAGAAGTCCCATATCTCCTTTGCCCCAGACAGTGGCACAGACCATATGTCAATAACACACAGCAGGTTATAGAAGGCAAAGAGTAATAGGACACGTAAGTGAGACATCAGATAAGCAAAGAAAGGTAAAGACGAGGCATGAGATAAAGTCAGGCTGCACTGATAAGACCTACTTTTGGAAAGGATGCCAAGGAGAGAGGAACAAAAGCCTGTTTGCTGGTGTGTTGCACTTGGGAGTCACCAAGGTAAAACTCCCTAAGAAGGGTCCCGTTCCCCTGACCTGTGTTATGTGGGGGGCCTTTTCCCCTGGCAGTTTTGGGGGGAGCTCAGGGAGCTGCACCCCTATGGAAAGCAAACCAGCCCATTGAGCAGGGTGGTGCGATGAAAGGTGGCAAATTTGGCTCCCTGGAGGAGCGCTTGGGTTTAGACACTGTGATGTTTGCAACAGTCCCCTGCTTCCCACCCTCCCCAGGAGGTTGTTGCCACTTAAATCCTTGTGCTAAGCCTTCTCCTTGTCTAAATAGCCACTATACATTTAATCCAAACAACCAGGTGACTCCAGCACAAAGCCAGTGGCAATAAACCAGTGTTAATGATTACCCTGGGCCTCTTGGGTTATGTAAGCCTGGATGTGCTGTACCACGGGCTCTCGGCTCGGACCTGCCCTTCCCGTCTGGGAGAAATACCAAGGACCTGCCAACACACATCGAAAGCTGTTTGGAGCCAGCTGG